CCCACGAAGAGACCGCCTTCTGAGAGACGGTTCAAATGCGATCAATGCGAACGTGAGACCCATTTGCCACCAATTGCTTGATTGTCTGACTAATGGTTGACTCGTTTTAGGCATGTTTTTCACGCGCAAAGACGTGAAGAGGCATCTGGTAGTGCACACAGGGATCCGCAACTTTGCCTGTCCTTACTGTACGCAACGGTTCGGTCGAAAAGACCATTTGGTGAGACACGCGAAGAAGAGTCACAACCGGGACACCCGCTCCTCCACTGCACTCAAAGCCACCTCTAGTTCCGCAACCAATACGTCAACCAAATCGCACTCATGTCCGACACTCATTCAGCCCAAGTCGGCCACCATTCCTGTGTTGGGACAGCAGTTGCCTCACAATCACAACAATCATATGAAACAGACATTGAATTACCCGAACGGTCAGAATGGAGACCATTCGGCATTAGTCTTGTTGTCCAATAACAACAACAATCATCACAACAGTCATACGGGTGTTGACAACCACTGCTCGGGTTATGGCAACCATTCAAACCCTAATCTCAATGCCTTAGGAATGACAGGAATTCATTCAAACGACTCATTGTGTCATTACATGTCTGGAGTCCACAGTTTCGATGAAATGATGGCATCGAATGGCATGAAGAGTGAGACGCCTCACCATTACTTCACATTTCCAGTCAACTCAACTCCGCTGACATATCCACTGCCGAACCCCCCATTCCTACCCAACTGTTTGGTAAGCAACTCGAGTGCAAACATGAGTTCGTGTGGCAGTACAGCCACTGTCGCAGCTTTTGGGATACCGGTGCCCAACGTGTCGAACGTCTCCACTCCAATACACACGACATTCTCAGTAGATGTGAACCCATCGCTACCTCATTTCAATCAAGCCTTTCAATAATACAACACTATATTCAGTCAAACTCTATATTTGCTCAATAAGTGCTGAAAATGAGATTCAGAGCTCAATATTTGATATAAATATTATGCAAACAATGATATATTGAAAGCGCACACAAACGCCAATAAGAAATCCAAATCTACCTCAAAGTGACCTCAAAAACAATTACCTCAAAGTGACCTTAAAATGACCTCAATTTTGAAACAAATACCATTTAATTAGTGTTTTAAAGAATATATTCATTTGAATGCTCAAAAGTGATGAAGTCTTCAATATTTAGACATTTATTTGTTTTTACTTTATTTTTATATATTTACAGTTATACACACTATGTGACAAGATATACAGTACAGTAGCTATTATTTAGAATTAAGAATTTTATTTTTTTCAATACTTTTAATTTGAATAGAAATTGTCTAGTTTGCAAACTTTACACTAAAGTGAACAATAGATCACTGTAACTACTAATTCGTGAGTACTTTGTATCAAAAATATTTTACACAACAGTTAGAGATGAACTCTTAAATTAAATTGATTTTTTTAAGTTTACAGTATCTGCAAATAATGAATGAAAATTTTCTAATATTCTAACTGTAATGCCATTTGTTGTAAATATAGTTTATAACTTAAGAAACTTTCTGAAAACGATAACATTTTAGAGATTTAATGATATAACGACCACTTCTTATGGTTATATACTACTATTTATAATAATACTGTGCGTTCAACTGTTTGCATTTAAATACGATAATAATAATTAATTATAGATTATTATTATTGTCATTTTGTTGATAATCCAACAAAATTGAAAATGATCACTACTATACAGTACAATACAAAATTTTCAATTGATAACTATACAAACTACCGTATATTAAAGTTTTGCATTTAATTAACTGTTCACTTATTTATAAGAACAGTCGTTATATCATTAAAGATTTATTTGTATTATGAATTTGAATAATGCGATAAAAATTGTTAGACTTGTTTACTTAAAATTTTGACAATTTTGCAAATCTTTTCCATTGCGATAAAATAAGTCGAGATTTGTTGAAAATTACTAAATTGTTGTTTAAGATTTATTTGCTAAAAATACACTAGAACAGTTAACTTATTATTTGAATTTATAATACAAATATACTAAAAGTTTGTGTGAAAACCTTCTGAAAGTTGTTTCAATTCTAGTAAATATATAATAAGTTTATATTTGTTTTTTGTTCCTATTTTGTGCCAATTCTTGTTATATTGATTTAAATATATTCAGATTGAGTTCATATCTAATATAGTTTTTCTTTTGATGCCATAATTACCGGTGAAATAATGAGACATATTTCAGTTTATTGTATAACATTTATAATTCAATTATTTGTCCATTTTCTCGATTTGTTAAAACTTAAACGTTTATTCATTTGATTCATAAATAGTATTTTCCAATTCCTTTCATTCATTTAACAAATGCCAAATTATAAAAATATTTTAATTGATGTTAAAATTATTGTTAAACGATTGCCATATAATTATTGCCAAACTTAAAGGTAAAACATTTGTAATTCCTATCAATTTATACTACGATCAGTATATAGAATAACGAAATATTTTATTATTATATTTAAATAGTTTACAAGTATTTTGTGTTTAAATCATATGAACACATTTCATACATTTAATATACAAGACCTGTAAGACCTCAATACTACCTCATTTTGATTCAAATAATTCAAACTATTTTTATTGATTTTAATAAACTATTTGTTACTTTTTAAACTCAACTCATTTTATTTCGAAGTTATTTTTATAGAAAAGTAAAAATTACATTTAACAAATGATTATTCATACAATATATTGTATTAATAATGGAAACTGACGGAATGTAATTCATAATGGTATGTATCTATACTGAACCAAAGTTACAGTAAAGTCACGGAATATATAGAATAATGATTTTTAGTATTAAGAATTTACTGTAATTTATAAATTATAAACTTACATTATATACAGTACTCGTTGATTTAGATAATAAACCGGTAATAATGATAAATAACATGAATGATGAGAACACCGGTTAGAGAGGGGTTTTGACATAAGACAGACCCGATTGAGTTGAGTGCAGCAGTTGTGCCCACTTGTGGTCCGGTTCTATGCAGCCAACCATACACTCACTGTTATCTCGTTTACAATATCTGAACAACAATCCGAAGACATCTTCTTCAGCAGCTGTTCCACTGCTTCAATGTTTCCGCCGAAGACTGCTTTGTGTAGAGATAGGTCTGAAGTATTTGCTGCCATTCCTCACCAATATTCACGATATTTTCAATAAATGCGAGAATTTAATGGCAAATGTTTGACACAATGATTGATATTTAATTTAAAGTTATAGCCAACAAAAGTCAGGTAATGCTTAATTTGAAAAGTTAATCGCGTGATTATAATATGTTTGTAAATTATAATGTTGTAAAATTGTTAACAAATACAGAAAACTAATAATGACTAATTAATTTATCACATAGTTATCACATTAATTTATTATATAATTATTTATCACAAAATTAAATAATCACATTAGGATTTTTCAAGTTAATAATTTCAAAATTAAAATTTGGTAGAATTAGCATATATTTTTGTATAATTCCAGATTGAGACCCCGATTAGAAAGTAATGTGTCTTAAACTGAAAATAAAGAATAATATAATATTATGTCATACTATGTGTTACATTTTTTTTGCATTTTGCAGCCTATTTGTATAAATTGTAACTTGTACAGTAAGTAAATTAATAAAAATTTGGCATAAGTTTGAGAGTTTGATGGAATTGTGTCTCGAAAAGAGACACTTTGACCCTCAAGTTGGTGAGACTTATAGATACAGTATATGTTTATAATATAAATTTACAGAGTTTAATTATAACATAAAATATAAAATAAAATAACAAATTTATTACACTTTTCGCGAATATGTGTGAAATAGGTTTATACAGCATATTCTTTGAAAAGTTTGGACATTAACGGACTCTCTCTCTCTCTCTCCCTCTCTCTCTCTCTCTCTCTCTCCCTTCTTCAGTATTAAGAAGATTTATTCTCTCTCCCTCTCTCTCTCTCTCTCTCTCTCTCTCCCTTCTTCAGTATTAAGAAGATTTATTTTAAGGTTGAATACTATAAAGGTGTAAATCATAATTAAAATTTATATTAAAATATGAGCCAGGGAAAGCCAGACAGAGTCAAGTCCCAATGCAAAACATTACAATAAACTTTAGCTTAAAAAATATTGTTTAACTGAAATCTATATTAACCTTATATCAGATACCATTCACTCAATATGTTGACCAGTGAGTTACCAAAAGTTAATTGTAATGTATGTGCATTGGGACTTGACTCTGTCTGGTTTTCCCTGGCTCATATAATTAAATAGTATTGAATGACATTTGACTCATTGTTTTTTGTTATGAGAAGTTGTTTTTAATGAATATAAATATTTATAGAAACTGTATTTCTCTTTAAATGTTGAACTCATGGTTGATATGAAATGTGTTGTGAAATGTGAGACAAACTGTAATATTAGGGTTATATTGAAGACTAAACTAATCTCAAGAGTAGGTCTAATATCGGTGTGGAAGTGATGGTTGGCATCGATTGCAAGCGTTTTGTTGACCTGAAGAGCAATCATGTGCTCATGAATGCCATAAAGTGTGGCATTTGTTTGAAAGTTATCATCAATTCAGTGGACACTCCATGCGATCACTCGTATTGTAGTGAATGTCTCGAAGATTGGGTCGTCAGGAGAGGTCGCAAATGGTGTCCACAAACCAGTTGTAAGAGTTTGTTGTGTTCTGAGGACATCACTCTTACGCTTACCACCGATGACGACAAGAATTTGATTCATATCGGACACAATGTTATGGTGAAGAAGAATGTTGTGATGAATTCATTGGTGTCTCAACTGAAGATGAAATGCGATTTTCTCAAGTTACCTACACTTCTTCTCAATTGTAATCTCAGTTACCGTTCTGTAAACTCACTTACATTCGTGTCCAAGACACTCTTCACACCGGAGAGAAATCCCTATTCTCGGCTTCTGGTGTAGACAACAAAAGTGTCCAAAAAAGTTGCCAAAGAAAAGCATTCATCGATTGTAAAGACATGTGAATTGGAGAATGAGATCAAGAAAAGTCAACTCAAATTGAATGCTATGTTTGAATACAAGCGAACCACAAGTGAATGCATTTCATCGGATATACCAATGGATTGCTGCCATACGAGTCACAACTTCATGAGCACATCCATCGCTTCCCTCTTATGCGGTGATTGTGACGACCAGGTCTTCGGCGTTCAGTTCATTCGGTTCGGCACTTATGAGACTAAGTCAACAGTTATGATGTGTCGGTGCGACCATATTGTGATGAGACAAGTGGTGAGACATGAAACGGATCCAAACACTCTTTCAGTGAAGATTCCTTTCAAGGAAACGGAACAACTCTTTTACTGCACCGACCCATCAGATCCCACTATATTCTTGAGACTAACGCCACAGTCCTCTTCAATCATACAAAATGCCTTCAATTTGGGAGTGGGATCACCCGGTGGCACATTTCACGTGACTGCCCAGGGTATCATACAGTGTTGATCTAGTAATCCAGGGTATCATACAATTAATTCTTTGTTTTCTTTGTATTTAGAGCCTAAGAAGCAGTTCATTACGATTCGGTTGACTCATCACTTGAGTCCGTATTTAATGCATAACAACAAGTCTATAACATTTGCTCTATTGTCACTCACATACCAACCGACGTATCTTGGCCTGGTGTTCACCCGTGTTGACGACGTGAGTTGAGTTAGCCCAGACAGAATACAGTTTTGGGGAGAGAGACCGGTGTTCTCATCATTCATGTTATTTATCATTATTACCGGTTTATTATCTAAATCAACGAGTACTGTATATTATGTAAGTTTATAATTTATAAATTACAGTCAATTCTTAATACTAAAAATCATTATTCTATATATTCCGTGACTTTACTGTAACTTTGGTTCAGTATAGATACATACCATTATGAATTACATTCCGTCAGTTTCCATTATTAATACGATATATTGTATGAATAATCATTTGTTAAATGTAATTTTTACTTTTTCTATAAAAATAACTTCGAAATAAAATGAGTTGAGTTTAAAAAGTAACAAATAGTTTATTAAAATCAATAAAAATAGTTTGAATTATTTGAATCAAAATGAGGTAGTATTGAGGTCTTACAGGT